ATTGTGGGGGCCAACGCAAAGATAAATCTTTATAACGTTCCTCAAACTAGTGGCTTATAATACGAACAATATGATATGACGTATTATCCTGCTGTAAATATTCCTCACTATTGGAATGAATTATCAGTATTACAGAAAGTATTTGGTCAAGAAGGACGTTTAGGAGTGATGTTTTATTCAGCCTATCTTGCAGACCAAGTAAAGATCTCAAAGCATGATATCACTTCGTTTTAGAGGCAACAATGTAACGCAGTTGCTTATTTACATAAAACTGTCTGATGATCAAAATAAAGTGGCCGCTCAGTGTATTAATAAATTTTATTACGCCTGATTTATACATATATCATGCATATTTTTAGAATATTTGTCAAAATAAAGACAAAAAACATGCAAAGATTCAATATTTAAATGAGAAAAAAAAGCAATTGAAATCTGAAAAAATCACAGTTAGGGAAGTTGGTTTAAAGGAACATCAAAACCTGCTGGATTGCAGGTGAATTGAAGGCGTTTCTATAAATCATCTTTCAAATCTTCTCCATATCCTCAAGCAATCAAACAGGTTTGAGTGTTCACTACTCTCGCTTTCTTCAATTTTGATTTGTCGGATTCTAATTGCGTTTTCTTGCTTAAATATCAATTCGATATTTGTATAATTTTTTGTATTCGTTTTTAAAAAGAATTCAAAAAATATATATTAAGGGGAGTCTTTATGAAGCACCCTGTATATACATTTAATAATATTTTATCTTAATGTTAAAAAATGAACTATTAGACTTTAGAAAATGAAAGGTTTGCTTCTTAAAAGAGTTATCTCCATTTATATCATTTATTATTTTGAAACTACAGTACCTATGCTTATTTTTCACCAGCTCTTTCTTGTCAAAACATAATTCAACTGCAATTATATAATAGGTAAACTGTATTATTCAACTGGTGCAATAAAAAGATATATAAAGCATATTAAAAAAGCAAAGAGAAACTTTGCAAAAAAAATGGAATAAGGATATTTGAAATGGAATTTTTGAAGAATATCGATGTATTATTTTATATCTGTTACCAAAATGTCAAAAAACACGAAACGCTTTCACATTGGAGTTATAAGAAAACTGAAAAACATGACAGAGAAAGAAAAATTCGTACAAGGATGGTGCCCGAAGCGCCACCCACAATCAAGCTAAACTACTTTATACAGTTAGTTTTTTCTTTCTTTTCTTTTTTTTTTTTTTTTTTNTTTTTTTTTTTTTTTTTTTTTTTTTTTTTTTTTTTTTTTTTTTTGGTTATGAATACAGACATTTTGTCTATTTCGTATTGATTGTAAAGATATTAAAAATGAAATTATGAGGGTGAAAATGTAAAGAGTCGAAAAAATTTCGACAAGTGTGCAATAGATAATACAAATGGAAAAATTACGTTTGAGATAATTTTAACAAAATATTCCCTTAAAACGATTTAACGTAAGAGTTTGAATTCCATTAATAAATAAATACAATGAAAAATACACATGAAGTGCAGAATTATGCAAGAATTGTCTAAAAGTCTATGGTTTAATCTTTTAAATTTTGCCTTTTAAAACGCGAATATTAAAGTTTCTTAGATAAGGGAAAAGTTTTTAAGTTACCTTTTAAAGCTAACAGTAGTTTTCTTCTCTGAATAAATTAACGTGGGGACGGATTAAAAATAAAAATTGAAGTTTTTGATAATTTAGAACTAAGTAATTATTTCGAAATAGAACAAATAATGATTTCGGAATCTAAAAAACTATCTAAAATTAATTCAGCCTGACTAGCGAATGAAACTTCGAGTATCTTCCTTGTTTAGTGTTGTTTGTTATTATTCAGTGCCCCCCCCCCTCCATTTCTTTATTTTGACTGTATTCCAGTCTATTATCTTAAGACATAATTCAGAGCTTTTATTTATAGGTATGAGGAGTGCAAAGTACAAATTTATACAAAAGGAAACATTATTTTCAAATTTGAAAAATGATGTGTTTTGGAATCCTTCCTGATCTAAGTTACAAAAGTATCTCTCTCACAATTCAAAGAAAATTAATAATAATTGTGTGATAAGACAAACAGCCTCAATTGCTTTCGTAATTTGAAGCCACGAAATCGCAGCAATAAACTGGCTCAAGTTTAAAAAGCAATTTTGGCAGAACTTAAAAATGGAAAAATTATTGTGAACAGTAAATAAATTGTCCAACGAATTTAGAATGATATTCATTGCTTGATTTGAGTTAACTTCTTACATTATTAAGTTAATATTATAAAACACTACTTGATGGGTTATTTAAGTTAGAGTAACAAATGATTCTCACAATCCTAACGTAAAGTTCTAGAAAAATCTACTTACATTTAATGATATATTTCTGTTCTGTGTTTAATTGATGAAGCAGCTGCTTTTTTTTTATGGTAGGTCACATGTCTGTTATCATTATTAGTTGTTTAAAAGAAGATTTATTTTTTTAAATTCAACTGGAGAAGTTAACTTATACGACTTAATTCAAATTAAATTTTAATATTTTTCTTTAGAATTATTTAGTCTCCTTAGATTTTGTCTTTTAAAGGGTCAGGTCTAATACTGGTCATGTCTGTTACCTTATCAGCTAAAAGACATGACATTATTAACAAGGTTTTCTTTTAAAAAAATTACAGTTACATATTATTAATAATGCTAATATATACAATGTATCTTTTAGACTAGGAACTGTAAACATAATAGGAATTATAGCAACTGGCATAACAATTTTTATTGAATCTGGCCGAAAATGTATCAACAAAAAAATACTATATTATGCAAAATCCCAGTTTCATGCGACTTGTTCGAATAAAACTGAATATATATAGGCATAAAGGGGGGGGGAATACTCCTTTCTTTCTGTAAAATATTTTATGGCAATAAATTAATGATTCTCGTACACTGGATTGGAAAAAAAATCAAGGAGCATTTGGAAGCTAAGATAAACTTGGAATTTATCGTAAATTAAGTTAGTTGATTTGATTTGAGAACAGAAATAGCTAATAAAATTTTGATCATGTTCCCAGCAATGATACAGGCATCAAATACTCATCGTTTACAGTTAAGACACTGCATCCAAACTTCCAGAAATTTTGACGTTAAGCATTTTATTTTATTTTATAACCGGCGCTAAACGGCCTACCCAATTTTTCAACTCCGTAGCTTTATAATTTTAAACCCAATCCAGAAGACAAGGGAACTCCTAGATCAACATGAATAATAATAAATAATAATAATAATAAATAATAATAATAAATAATAATAATGAATAATAATAATAAATAAAATGAATAATAATAATAATAATGAATAATAATAATAAATAATAATAATAAATAAAATAACATGAATAATAATAATAACATGAATAATAATAATAAATAAAATAAAAACATGAATAATAATAATAAATAAAATAAAAAAATACCGACAAACTAGCTTTCATGGAGGAACTAACCCGTATTTGTGCTACATGAACGGAAAACCACAATACCTCCCACGGTTAGCCTTACTTTTAAGGGACCCATGACTGGAACATATTGTGGGCTACCCAGCCATGTCCAATTAAGAAACCCTAGCTTACTTCGACGGCGCCTGTTACCAGAAAAGAAGAGTTTGCATAGTTCAAACGAAGTAGTTATAGATCTTAATACTTAAAAATGATATCTAAAATGTAATCAATCTTTGACTAAACAAATCTTCCAACGATTATTAATAACAACATTAAATTAGCGGAGAAGAAAATTTCTTTACTTTTGTGATTTTAAAAAGGTTCACAAACAAATATCCTACTTTGTAAATAGCATGATTAGTTTTATGTGATTTCTAATAAATGGCAAAACGAGGGCCGAATAGCCTGGATTTCTCGCCGGCCGAAGTGTAATAAATGGTGACTGATTCAGACTCCATGTTCCCATAACAAATCAATATCTCTGATCCTTGTCTTCTGGATTGGTTTAAAATTACAAGGCTACGGAATTGAACATTAGTAGTCGAAAACCCGAAATTTGGTCGGCTGTTCAACGACGGATATCGAGAAAAAAAAAATAATAAATAAAAAAATACCGGGTTCCAGTTTTATCTCCAACCCCATTTTGTACAACTTTTCTCCAATTGGAAGAATCTTTTTAGTAAAATAATGCAGAATTCATGTCCTAGAACTAATTTTTCTTAGTACTAATTTTTCTTAGTGCCAATTTTTCTTAGTACTAATTTTTCTTAGTACAACTCTTAGTACAAATGAATTTTTCTTTTTAATTTATTTAATCCAAATATGTGAGCTTTACTTTTTCAAACTTACTACTTATGTTTAGCTCAAAACTTTTACTAACACAAGTGTTTACTAAAGAAAACTTAAGTGTCAAAAACTTTTGTATTTATTAAAGATCTAGTATCTAATGTAATTAAATATTATGTAATTAAATGCTACGCTATTAAATGAAATAAAGCAATGCCACTTTTTATTAAGCATCCAATTCAAATGTTTTGAAAATTTCATTTATAATATCGTTTTATCAAAACATCGCGAGTAATTTTAATTACAAGTATTTATTTCTTTTATTTTTATATATTCTCATTATAGTGACCTGCTAACATGCTGTCAATTTTTGTTTGAAAGAAAGGAGTCCAATATTTCTGATATTTAGAACATATCAGATTGTCATAATTATGGTAAATCGAGCCCTTTCATTAGCCAAAATGTAACATAGAAATTATTTGTAATTTTTTTTCAAACTCACACTATTTGAAAATAAATAAAACAAGACAAATATTTTTACTTCAATATATTTTATGTAAATAATAGAATTTCAAGATGCATATTGAAAAAATTTCTGGGGTTTCTTATAATTCCTCAATTTTTACAAATCAAGCATTGAATATATTTTATAAAAAGTTTTCTTTATATTCAACATCTAATATTTATGTGACTATGATTATCGATATTGCAAAACGAAAATAAATTTTTCAAAATGAAAACTATGCAATTTTAAAATATTTTTTTCACTTCCCACTATCCTGAATATACAATATTTTTTTGCATTGTTCTATCCATTGTTATAATGTTCTATCAATATCTAAGCAATACTTAGATATTGATATTGGGTGTAATACACCCAGTACCATATATTTAAAAGTACAAATATGAGAGGGAAGAGTATTCTTGAGATTCGATCAATCATATGAGCTAATAGCCGTCGTTTCTGGACAGCGTTCATGAGGCGTGGTTGCAAATTGAAGACCATTTTGTTTTCCTAAAATTCAAAAATTCTTTATTAATATAATTCATTAATTTCAAGTAAAACACAAATCATGAATGTTGCAATACAGCGCCCATAGCTTCAAAATTTATACATTTTAATTTGGTTCTACATTAAACCCAAACTTATTCTGTTACTTTTGAATTTACGTCGCACTAGAACTGCACAGTGGGCAAATGGCTTGGGTGTGGGAAACATCTCTGTTGTAGTTCATTTACGTCGCACTAGAGCTGCACAATGGGCTATTGGCGATGGTCTGGGAAACATCCCTGAGGATGATCCGAAGACATGACATCACAATTTTGATCCTCTGCAGAGGAGATGGCACACTCGCTTCGGCAGACCGACGACCTTTACGGTAGAACAGTTTAACGAGGACCAATACCGTACACCCTCGGTCCCTACGTAGACTGATCCAAGTGGTCACCCACCCGTACACTGACCACAGCCAGTGATGCCAGCGATCTGCTGGGAACCACGTCTTAACGAGCCCACTGCGGGTCTGGGAAAACATCCCTGAGAATGATTCGAAGACATGCCATCGCAATTTTGATTCTCTGCTGAGGAGATTGCTCCCCTGCTTTGGCAGCCTGACGACCAGCACTCGAAGTCGAGCACTTTATGGTAGAAAAATTTAATGAAAACCTATACCGCCCACCCTAGGCAGGCTGATAAAAGTGGTCACCCACCCGATTACTGACAGCAGCAAGTGATGCTTGACTTCTACTGGGAACAGTGTCTTTTACGATCAGTTCACTTTTGAATTCGAAGCAGGACACTTCGGCCCTCCTTCCTGAGCCGTTTCGACTTCTTTTTTTAGATATTAAAATTTAACACTTTTTGCCTAATGCGCAAAACAATCCAATGTAATTGTCCATATTTATTTTTTATTAATTTTTGACTGCTAACATTAAGTCTTTTTTCAAACATTTTCTTTCTTTGGAGGTACCGGCTTCTTTAGCCATTCGAGACATATTTGTTTCGTGTTTTCACTTACATATCCTCTAATCAAAATAATTGAAGACCATTTTGTTTTCCTAAAATTAAAAAATTCCTTATCAATGTAAATTAATAATTCATTAATTTCAAATAAAACACAGACCATAAATGCTGCAATACAACGCAAGGCGGAGTTTTAAATCTATTATAATTTTTTATTATAATTCATAATTTTTTATTTGGTTTAACTTTAGTCCCAAACTTATTCCATTACACCGAAGCAAGACACCGTTAACATTTCGTTGCAGAGACGTTTCAGCTTCTCCTATTTAGATAATTAAATTAAATTTTCCAATCCAAATTAATTGCAATGATCCTTATTTATTTCTTATTAATTTTTGACCGCTAACTTTGAAATAAAATACAGACCCTACAGATAACTGCCTTTCTTCTAAATTTTTGTTCAATTGAAGTTGATATGATCGCCTTTTAACTTCTCTCAGTTTTAAAGCACAAACAGACAGGTGATAATTCGTACACTCGCCATTTTCCACAGTCTGATTTTGATACCATGTTTGTTTTTCCTCGTTTAAATATTAATTTGTAACCCCCAATGTGTACATTTTTCGGCGATATGTTTGATAAAGATTCTAAAAGTATATAAACATCCTGTATATAACAACAAAAATTATAATATGATAATTAGCTTGACCCTAAAACGTCAACGGTTAAAGTTTATAGATTATTTGCATTGTTTTTTACTTAACACAAATAAAGTACTCACATTTGTCATTTGTTTCAAGGTTTCTGCTTCATCATCGAGTACAATATTGACCAAAGCATACTCCATAAGTGATAAGAAAACAAAAAATGTGCAACTTGACATAAAAATATCGATTGCTTTTATGTAGGATACAGGTGGCAATGCAGATTGACTCTTAGCATGCTGCGTGGAAAGAGTCAATAGGCTTGTCACTCCTAACGTAACTCGTGCTGGTACAGCTTCTGGCTAGAATATAAAATGAATACATCAAAACTTACATGTATGTAGTGATAGTTCCTTCCAATTGGGCATCCTTAAGCAGAAACCAACAGCAAATCCATACAAAAATTAACTGCTTACAGGGTGATTGTTTAATAATCTACTCTGGGGTACGAAATTAAGGGAATTTGCAGACTTGGTCGATTACCTCTGGAACTACTGGAACGGTTTCAATGAAATTTGATATCTACATACATTGATACAATACAAAACAAATAATCATTCAACAATTGTAATACATACGCATGATCATGCATAACACTCGTTGGAGTCTGAAGGTATGAAACAGCAGTTGCATAAAAAACAATTAAATGGGCTAATAGAGGGTATGGTAGCCCCCTTACAGATATACAGATCTTACAGCGTGATTTCATACTTGAAATAAGCCAGTCTATTAGTTCCTGTGGTAATTGTCCTGAATTGTCCTGTAGCCATACCTTCTGACTCCGAGTGCTACGTACGATCATGAGGGTATATTACAATTGCTGAATAGTTATTTGTTTTGTATTGTATCAATGTATGTACATATCAAATTTCATTAAAATCGGTCCTGTACCAAGTCTGTAAATTCCATTAATTTCGTACACCAGTGTATATGTAATAGATCAAAAACATGATAACTAGAAAAAATCATGAAGGAATAAATGGTGGGTAGCAAACGTAATCCCGACATGTTTAAGAGACTAAACTGAGACAGGTCACACAAAAAATTATAATTTTTTACATTAAGACAAGTTTACAGAACACTTTTAAAAGAAAAAATTAAGTTTTACAGTAGTCTTTTGAACCAGTTTTCTACACGTTCTCTATCACCTACTTGCACATCTTAATTGCGTTTGTGACCGCCGTCCTAATTATTTAATAGGAGGGGGGGTCGTAGTACTCCGAAATTGTTTTTGTCTCTTCTCATACTTCTGAGTAGAATTTTGGTCAATATATATACTGCCGTGCAAATGAAAAAACAACGTAAGTGCTTTACGATTGATTCCGAGAAAAATGTCTTGACAACTATTTTCCTTCTATTGCTAATGCTATGAAACCTAAAACAAAACGTCAGAAAACTAATAAAATAAAATTTATTATTTTGCAATATGTAGCTCACCATACAAAGGCTTTGGGAGGGAACCAAAAATAAATATTCAGATGCAATTAAATATGTAATTAAAATGATGCCGCAAATTATAAGAAAAAAAATTGGCTTTAACAAAACGGGGAGATTTTAGGGTGAAGTTGAACCCGCCACAAATAGGGTGAAACCTTTCATTAAATCTCTTGGCAACAAGTGCAAGGATCTTACTGAATTTAAATGATAAATAATTACTAAGAAATACAATAAATATATCTTACATGATTTTGTTTCAGTTCTCCATTATATATTTTGAAAACTTACTTACAGTGTCATAATTTCATAGTATTTTCTTCATAAAACCTATCTTTAGTAATTTGAATTGAACCCATCTTTAGCAATAGTAATCTTTTATATTATGAAAATTATGTATTAAGAGGACAATAAAAAAATATATATTGGAGGGACATTTTATGAAGGCTTAGATGGGCTCCAAAATAGTTTGGAAAACACGGCTTGTTTAAATCATCATTTAAAACCACATAGTTTAAAAAGATTTAAAAATTTACCCACATTGCTTGTAATTCAAAGTTTTTTAAAATAATATTAAATCAAATAACTTAAAATAAGTAAAAACTACTTTTTCCATGTATTTATCGTTGGGTAAACAACTTTCATAAGTGGATTTAAACATTTTTTGAATTACACTATAAGTTTTAGAGATATGACAAAAACCGCAAAAAGAGAAATTAAAATTAAGGGGCCCAAAACTTTCGACATTTCTGCGAAAATTTTAAGGACCATAGGTTCAGATTGCTGCTAACCTCTGTTATCTTCCAGTATATTTATGTTAAAAAACCCAAATTCAAAAGAATAACGTTTAATCAGAAGAAATATGTATCTGTTCCGATTCCGAAACTTAATTGATAATAAGTTCTAATTCCGTAGCATATTTAAGGTTAACACTACGATTGCCTTTCAGAATGGGAAAATCCAGCCATTAGAAAAAAAATTATGTTCAGGGTGACTTTTTCTACTTCTTGTAAATGGATAGAGTTAAAATTTATGGCAGACACTAAAATGCTATCAAGCTTAATGGTTTGATTCGTCGTACATATGCTAATAAATTTGTGAGTGAAAACTCTACATTTTGTTTTCGGGATACCTTTTTTCAGATAAATAAGGATTTTCAAACTAAGAGAAGGCCACAATTTTCAATATATTTTGGATAAAACCGTGGTGGCTTAGGGGATAGAGCGCTCCGGGTTCGAATCCCTCCCAGTGATGCCTGAATTCCACATCCGGCTCGCACTAACCATACATAGCTGACGTAAAATAGATAGAAAGATCAATGGCTGGAGTCCCCTTGCCTAATCATAGAAGTTTTTCATGGTTTCCTCTCGGTGTAACGCAAATTCGGGTTGATTAAAGCAAAATAAGTCCTACATGAAATCAAATTTCTCCCAGGAGATCCCTTGTTTTCTGGATTAGGTTCAAAATTGCAAGACTACGGAGTTGAACATTAGTAGTCGTAGAATCAAAAATTGGGTCGACTTTTCAACGATGGTTATGGAATTAAATATATGAAACTTACTAAAAATAATTTGCACATGATTATAAAGCTCAGTTAACTAAAGATGATGCCATGCGAAAAAAAATAATTTTTCATAATTACGTCGTATCTTTTTTAATGATTTAATATTATAACAGTCAAAAAAATTTTAATTGGCCAATTAAATAATGTAGTAATTTTATGACATTTTGAACTATTTAATTTCAAATTGCAAGATAAAAAATTCGGTTGCAATCGGTCGAATAGCTCTTGAAAAATGAAAACTTATAAATACGACTCTTTTTAAATTTTTATTACCCAAAAACTGCTTGACCGATTACGTTAAAGCTTTTTTTATTTATCTTTGAAAATAACATTGCTTAAAGTTGCTTAAAAATAGGTATGTTTTATTATTCAAAATTGTTTCCACCATTTCGGATCACATATTAACAAATTAATATAAATTAATTTTTGTATCGAATTATCTTCGAATCAAGTATTATAATTTCATGCAATTTTTGTTTTTGATTCGCCATAACAGTATCAAAGATGTGGCGAAATATTAAAAAAAAAAAAAAGGAAGATTAAAATTAAGAGGCCCAAACTTCATACCAAATTTCTGGCTGAAACATATTTTCCAGATTACAGCTACTTCCCATATTTTGAAACTCAAAATCATAATCTAACGAAAAAATACTTGTATATTCAGTTAAAATATGCTTTGAAGTTTTATTTCGTAACTTAAAATATAATCCGCACAAATTAATAATCATGTTAATTAGATTGAATCATTAGATTGTACCTTGGTTCCTGAAAATCTGATCATTAGTTTAAAAGTTTTGAAGGTGCTCCACATTTTGTTTATATGTACAGTTCACTTCCTTTTATGAAAATATTATCTTACCTTAATCCAAAAAGATACCCAAGACATTATGACAATCAAACATGTTGGTATATAAGTATGAAATAAGTAATAGCCAAGCCTTCTTCTTAGAGTAAAAACTACTTGCAGACATGTAAAATTCCCTTAAAAAGAATAAAACTTATAAGACACTTTACTTGTCGAAGTAAAAAATTTAAAAACTTTCACGCGGTAATAAGGAAATTTTTAATTCATATTTTGCAATTTTTAAAAATGCTCGAATCTAGATAAATTTGGTTAATTATTATCATTATATTATTATGACCACGTGTAAGAGAAGGGGACTATAGTATAGACATGACATCTTAAATAACCTTTTTTATTTATTGGTCAAATCTTCTTTGGGAGATATCGTAGATTAGCAACACTGAGGTACGATTTCATATGCAGTTGCCTAATCATACTGTGAATACTTGCAAGGGAAGGTTTTTTTTTTTTAAAAGTAACTTTCAAATTTTCTCTTTTATTTTATTTTCATCATTTCAACAAAAGGTTATACTGTTTATTTTACCTACTGTGATGTTAACTTTATTAGGTTAAGAAACGGATGTTTTCATTTGGCTAGTGTAGACATTCATTCCATTCAACTTAAAATGGAAGAATTGGTGTACCACATTTGATGTTATTTATCTTCTAAACCATTTTATAAAAAGAAATACCAAGAAAATTAGTGCTTTCAATCTCAAGTAAGCAATTTAACTTTATACTAATCCACTTTTTGAAGGTTTTAACATTTTTTAAACGATATGTTTCCTCATGTTTGCTAAAATAATATAATTCAATATAGCTGAATTAAAGGAGAAAACAAAGTTTTTAATATATATTTATTTATTGCCGTATATAACTAAAACAGAACATTTGTGAGTTGTTTATATTGCTCCCATGAGGGAAATATCTCTAAGTGTGCTCTCCTTTCGGATAATTTTTCATCAAGTTAACTCGGTATCATAAAATTGTTTCAACTTGAATTGTATCTGTGCTTGTCCATGCAGCAGAAATCTGCTATCTGAAACGTATTTCTGTCAAAATAAAATAAATAAATAAATAAAAAAACGCGCAGCAAAAGCTACGCATGTTTGTCTGTTTTTTTAATGAACGTGAATAACAGAATTAAATTTGGAACTTCCTGTCAACACCAACTCTATGAAGGTTAATGACTTTGTGTGAGTCAAATTCAAAAAAAAATACAGTGTTGTGAATTATTTTGATCGATTCGGAAGTTGTTTAATGGAGATTACGATTATATAAATATGGAGATTACGATGTTCAATTCTTAAGGAAAAAAAGAGTTTCATGTTAGTTTCTCTAATCATGATTCTTTCTCTCTTTCACAAAAAAGCTATTTCTCAACTATCAAGAGGAGTTAAAGTTACCAAACTTTCATCGCTAATAGGTGGTAGAATTGCATGTTATTAGCTATTTATAATTGACGTGCAAAATGTTTGGTAAAATGAACGACAAGATTTAAAAATATTTTTTTAACAAATTATTCGATTCAGTTTAAATATTCTAATATATGATATATAATAGAAAAATTTAAAAAAAACGGAAAGAAAGAAGGAGCAAAAATTATATTTACCAGTGGAATAAACTTGTGTACAGTCTCCACGTTCTGTTTTGATCAAATCTAGTTGAGGAAGTTCAATATTTTCATCAACGACTAAGGGTGTAATTTCTTCCCAATCAAATAAAAGATCATCCGTAGTATAAGACACTGGGAAAAAAATTTATGATTTATATAAAGTAACATAGTCAATGTAGTCAACCCATATTTCCTCGGTTTTAAAATAGCTTGTGGGTTATACTACCAGTACAATTGAACAAACAATTAGATAACAAGCTTTGTGTCCTGCTTATTTGTAGACAAGCCTTCCTAGGTTGTTTCTTTATAGTCTAATAAATTATTTCCTATTTCTAATAAAATTAAGCCTGGTAAAAGTTTCTCATCAAACTCTTTATTTATGCTTATTAAATTATTTAAATACTTAAGGTTGAAAAACCACGCACACGTTAATTACTTTATTGAACTGTAAATGAAGTAAGCTGAAAAAGAACTGAATTGAAGTGAAAAAGATAGGTTGATCCATGAAACAACGAAATGGTGTTTATTTTTATTAATTCTCTTTATTTGTAAAAAGCATGTGTGATCATCAATAAATGTTTTCTTTTTATAAAATTTACTCACAGTTCAATTCAAATGTCTTCAAGACAAAGAATCATTAAGCTTTTCTTAGAAGTCGAGACCCGTTTTCTTCGAACGTATAAATGTAGTTTATCTTAAGTATCTGAAAAGAGCATGTATTTTCAACCAAGTATCTTTATAAGTAAGAAAATATTTCACCTAAATTGCTTATTTTATTTATTATTTTTCTTTCTTTCGATATTAATTCGTATCATATCATAAGCTCACCTTTGAAAACATGAAAAATAATTATGCATGCATGTAGAATCTGTTAAATTAATGTAAAATCGATGAGATATGCTTTTAAAAATCATTTTATAGCCTATTTTAGCAACAAATTTTTAAAAAAATATAGATAAAACTTACAACTTTCCATCTGCAGAGAACATTTTTGAGTATCATGTGGATATGTAGCAAAATTCATGGCACAAGATAAAGTCAATGTTAATCTGTAAGCAAAAACAATTTTCAATAGAATGCAATATTTTATTTCATACAACCGTCGTTAAACAGCCGACCCAATTTTTGGGTTTACCACTACTAATGTTCAACTCCTTAGCCTTGTAATTTTGTACCCAATCCAGAAGGCAAGGGAACTCTTGGATCAAGTATTGGAGAAATTTGCCTTCGTGGAAGACTTTTTTTGATGGAACTAGCCAGCATTTGCGTTACATGGAGAGGAAGACCATGAGAACCTCCCTCTTGGGTCATCCCCAGCGCGAATGCAGGATGCAGTGCTTTAGTTGGAAAAAATATTTTAGGAAACTCACCTTTTCACAAGGTTAATGCCAGAGTGTTTTCATGTCATTGTTAGGCCAAAAAAACGTGACCGGCTTTAATTCTAAAAAGACTTTTTAAAAAAGGAGAGGATTTGCAGCTAATTTGCATTACGTTTATCTTTGATGCATTCATCAAAAAAGTTATTGATAAAATAGTTCCATTTAATAAGTGAGTACACAATTCTTCATTAGCACTTGAAAAATATTATGACAATAGATTTGTTAAGTACACTGCTTTGATAGCAAGAACGTAAAAAATGTATATATTCATACGTACAAAAAGGGATACATATTTGTTATGTTTACAGTAAGAGGAGTTTACAGTAAGAGAAGTTACATTAGATTAGTTAACAGTAAGAGAAGTTACATTAGATTAGTTAACAGTAAGAGAAGTTTCCATTCGTAATAACTTAAGTTACTTATTTAAAAGTGTCTTTATTCAATTAAAACGTAAGTAAACTCAATAAGCCCCTCTTTTTATAGCGTGAACATAATTATTTGCTTCTTAGACTGCTTCCTTTACTTACCAGATTATAAAATATGTTAGACAATGCTATAAAGAAATATAATCTCATTTATTATTCACAATTTTACAAACCACTTGAAATTAAGTAAAGACTATTTAAAAGATTTCGTTCTTTTAAAATATATATAATATTTACTTTAATTACTTAGCTTTTCAGCTACATCAAACATTTTGAGCACTATATACATTTCCGAAATGTAATTTTTTTACAGAACATATCTTACTGCGTGTGCTTACAAACGACCCCGAAAATTGCACCTATCAGATTCAAAAGTTCACTTGCTTTTTTTAATTTGATTGGTATAGTTTTCACTTCACTTAAAAAAAAACAATCACTTTAAAAGAAAAAACAATTCTAGAATCGAACAGAAATTTTTGTTTCGCTTTGCAAAAAAATAATAAATAAATAAACAGAGAAAAGGAAGAAAAAAAGTAGTTCGAAATCTTTTTCAAATATTTAAAAATTTTTACTATCGCAAGGTAAATAATGGCAGGGCTAAAGAGAATAGAAGGGCTAGTTCACTCCGCTCTTAGAGCTGAAGCTACGATCGCTCTTAACCTAAAAGATAAAAAGAAACATTCATTTTTATTAAATGGATGTCCAATATATATTTTTTTTATTAATAAAAGTAGAGAGAACGAAACAAACGTTAAAGTTTATATCGGCGGTAAATTGATAATGACTTTAATACGAGATATGTGTTTTTTCTTATTTCGAGTTAATTGTCTCGAATATTCTGAATTACATCAGAAAAAAATTGAAAGTCAATTATTCCCCCTTGTAATTGTGTTCATTTATATTCAGGCAAATTAATTAATTTTTTTCCTACAACATTTAAAAAAAGACAAACAATGAAGGAAATGCAAAAAAAAAATGAACAAGAATTCTATCTTAAATTCAGTGAAAACACCTAATTTTGATGGAATTTTGAATGTATTAAACCAGAGAGAAATGTGACTGTTTAAAATTTACTTCCTGCTTTTGACTAGAAAAATAATTTGGGAATATTCAAAGAAAATTTGTTTTGCGTGTTTTAACTTTAAAATAAGCTTCTGTAACCATTTTTGCACAATTAACTAAACTTCTTTAAACCATTAAAATCTACTTATAAATAGTGTTTTTTAAATCATTTTGAAATAAAGAATACAGTTCTGACCGACAAGAGTGAACTATCTAACTGATTAATAAAACTTACTTATTTTTGAATAAAATTACAAAAAATGTAGCTTATTCAAAAACGATATTTATTGCCGATTATTATTATAAAAATTAGAAATGAAAACGATTATTATTATAAATAAAAACGATATTATTATAAATAAAAACGATATCATTATAAATAAAATCGTTATTATTGTATAACGATTATTATTCTAATAAAAACGATTATTATTATAAATAAAAACGATATTATTATAAATAAAAACGATATTATTATAAATAAAATCGTTATTATTGTATAACGATTATTATTCTAATAAAAACGATTATTATTATAAAAATTAGAAATGAAATAGCAACTGCGCTTTAGTTAGCCCATACATTTTATTTGCATTTAAAGTTCAAATGAAAAAAGTTACATTAGAGGAAGAAACGAAATATTTAATAAACTTTTGAGAATAATTATTATTTTCTGTAAAACGCATCTTCTTAAAAAAAATTAGTTCATTTTAATTATTTTTTTAAAAATTACTTTTAAATAAAAAGGGGTGATAGTTTCAAAATAATTGGTATCATTTTAAACTTTTTGTTCCCATACAACATATCGATACCATTGAGTTATTAAATAAATAAATAAAAGCATTTTTCGTTTAACCCTACAACCGCCTTATCAATGCTGTACGAGATATTATTTCTTCAAAAATATTTAAATATGAGTATAGAATAGATTATTCTATTACATCGATTGTCACTGCTGTGAACATTTTGGATCCTAACCAAAAATATAAAGTTTCTATGAAAATGAAGTTATAAAATATTTTAGCAGTTCAAAATTCCTGTAAAAATACAGAGAGAAAAACGAGAATGTGCACTAGTACTAGTTCAAATGCACAAAATCGGAATTTTCGTTAACAGATTTCTGGAAACTGTAGGTTTTTTACTGTGAATTTTATTAAAGAGGCTTTTTTCCGATATTCTAATCTACTTTATGGGTAAACAACNATTGCATATATATATATATATATATATATATATATATATATAGCATATGTATTCAAAATCCTTTTCAGAAATGAAGTTAAAGAATTATGCACATTAGAAGTCCTAATTTAATGTTTAAGCAAGGAAGAAACAAAAACTCTATCGAAATATTTAGAATAAATAAAAGAAAATGGGATGAAAAACAACGAAACAAATTTGATTACCTGACAAAACGTGAAGTTGTTTACAATAATCAACTCTCGGCTCCTTTCTCTTTTCTCCAGCAATTTCTCAGTCCTTCCTTTCTCAAAAGTGCTAGACACTTTTATAGAACTACTCTACACTTCTATAGAATACTATACACATACTATAAACTTCCATAGAGTTTTGTTATTTCCTCCCTTAAATATTTAATAACTCGTTATTTTCATTACTTCATCTTTAACCAAGCTATCAAAAGCTGTTCAGTCCTTAAATTTCGGCTAAAATTGCACTTTTTTATTTTTACCAACAAAAATCAAAATTTAATTTAATCAAAAGAAGCTTAACCATCAGATGTCATATTACTTACCATAGAGCCTTCATTAATTGAATCCAGACCCATTACTGTAACATGGAACGAGACTTTAGTGGGTTTTCCTGAAAGAAAAAATTTAAGCAGTACGAAGCTTTAAAATTTATAAAAATATTAAATAATTATAACTTATAGAAGATTTTATGTAAAGTATGTATACAGGGTATCCCAAAACTCATGGTACATTTGCTCTGGAGTCGGAAAGAGATAAAGTACGAAAAATGCTGTGTCAGGAAATGATAGGAAGCAAGACAGAGATGAAATGAACCAATAAAATGAAGAAAAATATTTTATTCAACAAGTGAAATTAAACAACACTCATCACGGGAACTGCTCAAAATTACGCCGCCAACATTATCGTACATTAGCGTAAACATCAGGCATATGGTGTCAGTATACCCTGGCAACAGTACAGCTACCCTGGTCAGTATAGCAACTGGTCAGTATAGCTACCCTGGCAACAACGTTTTCAGATGAATCCATGCGACCATCGTCGTAGATGAGGCTCTTCATATGACCCCAGAAGAAAAAGTTCAGACACAAAAGAAAAGTCCAAGCACGTTACAACTTGCATTCGGACCATGGATTGTATAATAATTTGTCCTTGTCTAGTTGTTTTCTATCCCCTCCTAACGTATGTACCCTGAGTTTTGGGACACTCTTTATAAAGAGTGTCTCGCAGATAAAGTTTCTATTGTTGATAAATTAGGCGAACACTACTGAGATCATAGGATTAAGACAAAGATGATCGAGGGAAAAACATAAATGATTTTTTTTAAAAATTGTAGCAAAAGCTACCGTTCAGTGAAAAGGAATTTTTCTCACCTGTGTCTGAAACAGTTTATGTTATTATGTTGGTATTTGGGTTATACAAAGAATTGCTCTATTTTTGTTAATTAAACAATTGTTTAAATTTTAAATTTTGACAATACGTTAGCAAAGGCAAGACTATTTTGTAGTATATCTTTAAAATAATAAGTCATATTGGCCTACCAATACCAAAATATAAAAGCCTTTGAAAATTTAAACACAGTTAGTGTGTGTAAGAACTAGTTGATTTTGATTTTTCTCACCAAAGGAGCGTAGTCCTGACACTTTCTTTTCTTTTTTTCAACTTAATTTTTCATAAAATCTGCTATAGTTCGTTCACCCAGAGTTGGCACTTGGTTCCACCTCCCAGGACGAAGAGTTTATTTCAGAGCGGGAGTAAGAGAAGAAACGTCTCCGCTCTTAAAATTGAGACAACCCTTAATGCGCGCCAAACGCAAAAAGTGAATTATTTTTCAGTCACTTACTTCGCTTTATCATCTGCTATTATACTTCTCGTCACTCTAGCTAATTGAACATACTGCAGCAAAATGTCTTAAAAAGGACAAACTATTCATTCAAAAGAGAGAAATATTAAATTTATGAAACATTTAATGTTAAAACACAGCACATAAAGATTGCGAAATAAATATTTTTATTATACGATCACTAAATAGCAACCTTGTTCAGGACTGTTCATATTCTTCTCCCAAAAATAATGAAATAGTATCGTCGGATACCACGTGATGAACGTGGAGCCAAGTGCCAACTCCTGGTGAATGAACTATACTTAAAAATGAAATATACTTATAAATGCAATTAATTGAAATATAAATAAATTGTTTCATTCATTAACACTTTTTAATTATTTGATATTACGTACATAATTAGAATAATAAAGGCAATTTTTAAAATATAAATTAATAGGGAGTATAATAAAACAGATGTAAATAGCGCTTAGAAAAGGGGAATGGAATATTTAGAAAAACCAACTGGAAGGGATAATTCGAAATTTTTAGAGTTTTATTTCATTTATTTGAATAATTTATGAGTTTTCAAAATTATTTTTGAATTATAATCATTTTCAGATTTCCTATTGTTAACTAGTTAACTTTTAAAATATAATTATCGTATTGGATTATTTCACTCTATATAAGCAATATCAAGAAACGCAGACTATGATTTGTAAAAATTGATTTGATTACATTCATGAACAATATCACTTAGATCGCATTTTTGATAAGAAAAATACGTATGTTATTTAAGGTGAAAATGATGTGTTGAATTTATTTTTATGTAAACTCTGACAAATAAATGTCTAAAAAAAAAGAATAAGAAATATTTTTTATAAATGCATTAGTCTTTAGGTATATTTTTAACAATTTAAAGGCATAATTATAGAAGTAATCAAAATACTAAAGAGTATATTAAGAGTATCTATAATAGGGCAAAAAATTATTGATTTATTATTATTATTATTGTAAAGGGCTTTGTTTGACTTATAATTCGCGCGAAGATCCAAAAAAGGTTGGGAACTCTCAATCAATGCTATTAAATCTTTCCTAATTGCCAATGGATCAATCAAATTTTAGTATAGGAACTTTGAAAGTATAGACTTTGAAAGTATAGTCTACTTTATTAAATTATAATCTAAATATTAAAAATTTACTTCTATGAAACATAAAATAAATTATTCAAAAAAAATTTTTTTATTAATATAATAATTCAATTAATTAAACATAAACTCAAAAGCGTTTAGATGTGACGAATTAAATTTCTAGTAAGTTATAATTTAAAGAATTATTATAATCCTCATTTGAGTAATATTTTTGTTCACATACATAAATTTCTGTCTAAATAATTATCATAATATTCATTTGAGTAACATTTTTGTTCTCAAACATAAATGTCTGCTTAAATAATTTTCAAATCATGAAAAACCTCTTTTCTTCGTTGAACCGAACAAATTTTAACTAGCTGGAGTAAAACAAGTTTTTTTGACTGAAATTCCCTAAATATAAACCTCTGAGTAATTTTAATCACTTTGCAGAGCCATACAGGCTATATTATTAGATGCACTTTATGTAAAATTGTAATTATCAGATTGTTTTTACTCGGATGAAACCGGTTTACGCTCCTCTATCAACTGATTAACACTGTAATGCAATAATCTAAAACTCAATAAGTATCTCCTCAATAAAAACCAATTACCTGTTTGTTTCATTATAAAATTATTGCATAAAACCTCAGGCAATTTATATAATTATTAAAAAACCACAGTGAGTCTAATAATTTGGTCTAATTATTATAATATACTACTAATATAATGATTGATATAATAAATATTCTGTAGTTATATAATACATCGCCTAACTTATCCTATCGTCAAATTTATATTATATATCGTCTAATTCAACCAATTGATACACTAACGCAAACAAGTGCAAACCGGTTTCAGTCGCATAACAACAATAAAGCTGTATAGTATCACCTGATAATTAAAATTTTACATAGAATCTTATAGTGCGTCTAATAAAGGGACTGTATATATATTTTTTTAAAAAATGCGATGTTATTATACCATCTTTCTTTGGTGGCTTCATTTTATCATACATTTTAGGATCTTCGGGTAAAATGTCACTAAATGATAATCCTCCTTGGATGGAACAATCTCCTCTAAAATTAAAAGTGTTAACATTTAGAGAGTTTATTAAAAAATATATTAAATTAAAAAAGAAATAATATTTTTCCTCAATTTGTAAACCTTTTTCTTTCGATTGTGTTATTCGTATAGTCTGTTTACCTGTTCCTTTACACAAAATGTTAATGAATTCATTTATATTTGAAGGGCGAGTTGTACTGCTTTCTATTTAGGTTTCTTGAAAAAAAGTCAACATTTTTGCACTTTTAACTGAATTCTGCAGGAAAAAAAAGGGATTTTTGCATCTGAAGAAGTAATTGAAGATAATTTAAAACAACAGCTTTTCTCTTTCTCTATCGTTTTTTTTTCCCTCACAATAAATTTTTAACAATTTGTCAATAATAAATTGTCGAATTCTGATATAAAACAAACATTTAAAAGTCATAGAAATACCGTGAAAAATAATTCAAACGAAATTTTTTGAACACTTTTAGTTCAGTCATAAACAACAGTAAACAAAAGTCAGGTAAGCTAAAATAAATTTAATAACTGTATCTCGGTGTGTTCTTTTGAACTTGTGAATCAACCAACGAAATCGGTCGAATAATTCCTGAATAATGAAGTTTTTAATTAACAACATTTTTAAAATTTGCTAAATGATAACCTATTCAATCGATTGCATTCAAATTCCATATTTTTTGATTTAAAATTTTATTCTTTAAAATGATGTAAAAATTTGTATACTTTACAACTAAAAAAGTTTTCGATTATTATTAAGTAAAAGAAAAATAAATAAAAAATACTAAAAAATATACTTTACATGGAACTTTTTTGAAAAAATAAATTTTATAATTGTGTTCAAAAAATTTTCGATTGCTTAAAAATTTCTCGAGATATATCGAAATACGCAAAAAGTGAAATTAAAATAAAAGGAAGCAAACTCTCGACTGCTTTACTAATCGAAATTAGCAAAACTTTTTGAGACCGTTAGACTTTTAGACAGATTCGGATTCTTGACACAAATTTTTAGTGTCAAAAAATCAAATAAGAGGAAAAGAGGAAGTTTATTCAGAGAAAAGAACGCTTTTGTGTCTGATTTCGTAACTTGAAATATTCAAGGAAAAACCTTCGGACTATTAAAATTAAATCCTAGAACGTGAAAATCCAATCATTAAATTAAAAGTTATTTAAAGTGTTTTCTCTTTACGCAGTGTAACACTAGCCAGACGTGTCTCAATACTTTTGTAATTATTTTTATTAAATCATTAAAAAACTTAATTAATTATTTTACCCAACATGTATTATGGTATCTGACGAGTGCAAAAACATGATTTTGGACAAAATGTTCGAAATTGAGTTAATTACAAATTTGAAATACCTGTAATCTTAGTTTTCTAAGAAATACTTCACTTGTGTTTGTATTCTATTTATTTACAAAGTCATAGCAGTTTTTGTGCAAGTTGATAATACTGGATAGAAAAGTAATTTAAAGTTTTAAAATGCGTTTATCTCAAAATCTGATTTTTTTTTCTTCACATTTTACACGATATCTCATGTTGTTTTAAAAATAATTGTATAAAATTTTTCATGAGTGCTTATGATTTTAATAAACATGCCTTGAATTACAGACTAAGAGAAAAAAAAGTAGAATTTTATTTTTTATGCGTGTTTTTTTTTTTTTTTTTTTTTTGCAAAGACAAGTGGGAAATTTTTTTAAAATTTGCTTTTCTAACTACATCGATCCCTAACTTAGTAGTAAATGCACTTACTTTAAAGATAATAGTTCAAAGCATAGGTGATAAGCTTCTAAATAAAATCCTCAAGGGATTTTTTGTTTTGGTGAATAGAAATGTTTTTACTATGCTTAGCGTATGGGCAAAAAAAAGCCTTATTTTTACTTAAAAAGATAAAAGTGAAATAATCATACTTTTTTAGCAAGTTGTATAAGTTTTTATGCATAATAAAACAAAAAAGCGAGTTTTTTTTACTAGTTTTATGTTAATATTTAAGGACGCCCGGTGGTTGAGTGGTAGCGCTTCGTGCTCCCATGCCACACACAGATCCTGGGTTCTATCCTTAGGCCGGGCAAGATTGACTCAACCTGTCATCCCTTCAGTGGGTAGATAAATGAGTACCAAGCATGTTTGGGAACTAAACACTGAGGGAACCGGAACATCTGCTCCCCAGAGCCCAAGGTCATGAGAACTGAGATGGGCACAGTAGACCTTGGCCCTGTATGGACTGTCGTGCCACTGAAGGAAGGTTAATACTTAAGAAAAAAATTTGTCGAAACCTTAATAAAAAGGTCCATTAAACATATGTGTGACCAGCATCTTCTAATAAGAACGTTTCCTTGTTTTCAAAAAAGAAAAAGATTAGTAACACAAGTGTATCATTATTAAGATTTATTTTACAGAAACAAGATAGCTCTGTCTATAATGTATCCATAATTTGGAACGGAAATCAAAACAAAATTTTGAAGTAATAGGTAACAGAAAAAAATATGCACTAACAAACATGTACAGTAAGCAAAAATATAAATTTTAAACATACGACTTCTAGAAATTTTATTTCGCAAGAACTGATTTACCATTTTCACTCAATTTTTGTATTTTGATATGCATAATTACATTCTTTAAAGCGATGTAAAAAATTTTATGCATTGCAGTTCAAAATTTTTCAACTATTATTAAGTAAAATAACAAAAAATAATAAATATTTTCTAAAAGTTATTTTTCGCATGGAATCATCTTTAGATAAAATAATTTTATAATTGTGTACTAAAATTTTTCTATTCGCTTAAAAAGATCTCGAGATATAGCAAAATACGCAAAAAATTAAACTAGCATTAAGGGGTGAAAACTTTGGACCGCACTCCTAGTCAAACCATTGTGTGACCAAACTATATTTCTAAGATTGCGGCTACCACCTACATTTTGGGGGTCAAAAATCCGAATTCTGCGAATAAAAGACATAAATATTCAGAAAAAGCATGTTTTTGTATCTTATTTCGCAACTTAAAATATCGTCTGCCCTTTTTAATTAACATATTTGAGGTTGATTTCTCAGATCATTACGATTGAGTCCTAGAACATGGAAATCATATCATTAGATCAAAAGTTATTATGGATGATCCGTTTACTTATTTGATACTTTTTCAATATACAGTACCTGCTCTTTAAAGAGATCGCATTGGGATCTGAAGGTCTTGATTTCAATAAATGACTGGTTCCTAAATTTTCACCAATTTCGTCTCCAGACGATCAGATTGAAAACCGAAATTATCAATAGTTTTTGTTTACAACTGGAGCCCGAGAATGTGAAAGTTTAATTTCGCTCCGCACGATGCTAAACATTTCGTAAGTGGTTTTTAATGGCATGCATGTTTTTTAGTTTGATTATATTCTCATAAGAAGACTAACATGTATCTGTTAATTATATTAAATGATTTTTTAATATTTAACTAGGCCTATTTAACGAACTGGGCTTAACAAAACCGATTGAAGGTTTTGTTAAGCCTATTTCAAATTCATATTATTCTGTGAATTAAAAGTTATTAATTAAATTAATTATATATTGTGAATTAATTAATTATATATTGTGAATTAATTCATATTATTCTGTGAATTCATATTATTCATATTCATATTATTCTGTATTTCAAATTCATATTATTCAAATTCATATTATATTTCAAATTCTATTACAAATTAATTTTATTTGATGAAATAGTATACAATAGCATCATAATTTATGATTTTTGCTTAGTAAAAATAACTACTGATTCTTAAGTGTATCATATCGTACTTAAGTTATAAATTTTAGTGTTACTAAAGAACAAAAATGGCTACTTTATACCAAGTAATGTAAAAGAACATCCTTTTTATATTTTATTTTATAACCGTCGTTGAACAGCCGACCCCATTTTATGAGTTTAAGACTACTAATGTTCAACTCCGTAGCCTTGTAATTTTGAACCAATCCAGAAGACAAGGAAACTCCTGGATCAGTACCCCCAGAGGTATTGATTTGTTGTGGGAACATGGAGGACTTTGAGACTCGACAGATTTAACGTGCATCAGTCACCATTTACTACACGGGGAGTCTTCGGCCGGCGAGGATCGAACCCACGACCTCTTGGACTTGGGCCCAGCACCCTACCGACCAGGCTGTCCCGGCCCTAAAAAGAACATCCTTGATGTAACGAAACATCTAGATTCAAAAGTAATGTATGGCGTTTCACTACAACTTTTGTCGTAAAGTGGTCGCAACCATTTTGGGCGCTGAATTCCTCAAAATATTTTACAGTGTACAGTGCACAAGAAACAAAGGGATCACCTTAAATGACTTTTAGTCTAATGATCGGATCTTTACATTCTAAGACTCAACTTTGATGGTTAAAGGGGGTGACCTCAAATGTGATAATTAATTAGAGCATTAATATCGCCTGCACTAATTAATTAACATATTTGAGATCAAATTACAAAATCAGACACAAAAATAGACTTCCTCTTAATAAACATACTTTTTTTTTGAAAGATATAGATTTCTGATCCCCAAAATAAAGGTGGTAGCCACAATCAGAAAAATATGGTCCCCATAATTAGGTCAGGAGAGCGATCTAAAGTTTATACACCTTAATGTTAATTTGACTTTTTGCATATTTTGCTATATCTCTAGAACTTTTTTAGCGAATTCAATATCATTTTTTTATTGTTTTATTTAGCAATGGTCGAAAAAATTTTGAATTGTAAGATATACGATGCTTTACATTATTTTAAAGTATGTAATTTTGCAAGTTAAAATTCAAAATTTGAGCGAAATCGGTTGAAAATTTCCTGAGAAATCAAATTTTAAAGAAGTCTTATCTTAAAACTCGATTTCTCAGAAACTATTCAACCGATTTTGTTCAAATTTTGTATTTTGTCACGTAAAATTACATTTTTCAAAATGATGTAAAAAATTGCATACCGTACAATTCAAAATTTTCCCGTCTATTATTAAATAAAATAATAAAAAATAATGAGAACTTTTAAAATTTATTTTTTGTATAGAATTATTTTTGGACAAATGATTTTTATAATTGTGTGCAAAATTTTTTTAATTCATTAAAAAGTTCTCGAGATATGGTGAAATACGCAAAAAGTAAAATTAACATTCAGGGGTCAAAACTTTGGATCGCTCTCCCGACGAAACTTCTCCCTTATATTTTGGGGATTAGAAATCCGAATCCGTGGAAAAAAGGTATATTTATTCAAAGAAAGTACGTCTTGTGTCCTACTTCGTAAATTAAAATATCGTCTGCATTTCAAATTTGCATATTCGAGGTCACCCTCTTGAACCATTAAGATTACGTCAAGATCTGATCATTAGAACAAAAGTAATTGAGGGTTGTCCATTTTTTCGGCAATTCATTAAAGCAAATTTGCATAAAATTTCAAAGTTTAACTTTCAATCAAAACTCTTAGTTAAAGTTATAAGGAAAGTATTTTAAAAACAAATTAAAATCGCTTCAGTGTTAATAAAAGTGAATATTAGTAACAGTGAAGGAACTGTTTACCCCAGAGAAATTCATCACTTATTATTTACGTAGGACCCCTTTTTCTCCCGACCTAAATTTTCTGCATTCTTACAAATCAGATCTCCCCAGAAGAGTTATGAAAAATAATGAGTCATTTAAACGAATGGTATTTTTATACACCACCTGAGAACAGAAAATTTCATAAAAACAAATGACACAAAATTACCAATTTATTTTGATTCAACGATCATGATTCTCATGACACTTCTTGTAAATTTCACTATCATATATAACTGATTTCGTTTTCAGAAATTTAATGACAATAAGCGGCTAATTATGAAAACTGGTGGTCACTGTATATGGTTCTCACTCACAGACTGTACCGCAGTGGACTGATCGTAAAGACGCGATTCCCAGTGGAACACCGAAGTCAGGCATCACTGACTGCGGTCAGTGTGCGGGTGGGTGATCACTTGGATCAGTCTGCGTAGGGACCGAGGGTGTGCGGTATGGGTCCTTGTTAAACTGTTCTACCGCAAAGTGCTCGACTTCGCATGCAAGTCGTCGGGCTACCAAAGCAAGGGAGTCATCCCCTCTGCAGAGAATCAAAATTGTGATGGTATGTCTTCGGATCATCTTCAGGGATGTTTCCCAGACCGTCGCCAAGAGCCCATTGCTCAGCTCTAGTATGACGTAAATGAACTACAAAAACCTGTAACTTAACGGGAATGATGTTCGTGTTGCGTTTTTATTATAGGATTTTGCATATCATAATCCTAACTCTTGGAATCTTTGTGTCATTGGAACCCCTAGGTTTCTGCGAAACACTTCTTGGAAATCACTTCATCAGTGGGTTAAACAACAAAAGTTTGACTTCACCATATATATTAAGAAAAATAACTTTACAAGATCATTTCATTCATTTTATTAGGTAGCTATAACTTATTGAAGCTAAAATAGGATTTTACAACATCATTGAAAGCTATATTTAGAGCAACTCACTTTTGAAGGAATCCAAGAATGAAAAGCAATTGAAGGATTCCACTCATCCCCACCATTAAATTAGATTAGGAACTAAAATTTAAGAAAAAAAACACATTTTAGTTATTCAAATACATGCATTCATAAATCAAAAACATTTCTATGTCAAGTTCTTTGGGAAAGTTGTGTAATGCGTTCAGAAAAAAAAAATTTTTTTTTTAATGGGGATGTATTGTCCCATTCGCCAGGAGTGCGAGAACTCTCTTCTCGTTACCCAGTGGGCACCTGTGACGTAGCCACGGCGGTGGAGCAGCATCGCCCACGTCACACAACCACAAACCCGGGAGTTCAGAAACTAGTGAGTAGTAACCATATAAACCTGACAAGAGAAATATTTAACCATAATCTTGATTCATCCAGGAAACCATATTATGAGGCTTGGATGAACTACATAAAATGAAGCTCTCCTGCAAAAGTCAGTTTGTAGCCTGGAATTTGAAGAAAAAAATGCTTTTGTTTAACTTTCCTTAAATCAAATTCATGTCCATAAAATTAATTGCCTCAAATATTACGTAAGCATATTTTTAGTAATTTTGTTTTTCCCTCTCTCCTTGTCACATAAATAAGCAAATAACAAACCCCCTACTTTGCTTACGTACGAAAGGTGCAACAGTTTTCACTCCAGGTTTTTGCTCTAACTTTGACATTTACTGTTGTAATCTATCTATGCACAGTGGGCCAGCATGCAAGGTTTCGTAGCCAAATTTAGTACTTCGATAAAATTTGTTTCAAAATTTGGGTGTTTTTATGTGCAGGTAAATTGAATTCATAGTTAAAATTTTGAAATATACTAAAAATTCCAAAAAAAAAAAATGGCGGCTGAAATATGGCGAGCAAAAATAAAATAAAAATAATATAGTGCGCTTAAATAATTAAATATAACAATGAAAATATAATAATTTTCGTAATTTTATATTAAAAATGAAAAGCAAATTATTTTTTCGAAGTAATATTACAAAATAACGCGAATTAATTACAAAATAACGCGAAAACATTAAAAAAAAAACATAATTTTTGTTTTCCGGTATATTTAGTCCACCTCTGCCATATGGGCAAAATAGGGCAGGTTTTTTCAAAAGAAGAAACATCAAGGAAGACAATAAAAAAAAGTTTAGCTAATTACCTCGTGGAACTTTTTGGAGATAGGTTTCGAAAGTGATTCAAACATTGTAAAATGTCAAATGATAAGACATATTTTTCAGTACATTGTATTCTTGTCGGTCCAAAAAGTAAATTATAATGTTTGGAATGATTATGAATACTTAATTTGGGCGATATTGAAACTGCCTACACATATTTTAGTTGAAAATTTAATTTTGACTTTTGGCCAAAGATCATGGTCTTCTGGCCCACTGTGCTATGGGATTAATTCAAATTAAAAGATGTAACCTTACATAAAACTAATTTTACGTTTTTATTCATTTTATAAAGTTCTTTTTTTTTGTAAAATATTCTTTCGAAATCATTACTTGCGTTTTTTTTGCTTATAACTCTTGACCTATAAACCTCTTCGAAGACATTTTTTCCAATTTTTTCTTTCCCCGATTTCAACTTTTATGCCACATTTGAAATTTTTCTATGTGGAATTTTTTGTTCATATTGAAATTTTGCCTTTCAAGAAAATTTTGAAAATAAAGGGATTTTAATGTCCTCCCTCTTTGTCATCAAAAATAAGTAAACATTCTCTGCGTAGACGATAAGTGGCAGAAAATTTGGTTTTTATTGAAATTACATACATTTGCTGACTTGTGTGCTCAATATAGGCTTATAAGTCATTGTCAAGTAGAAAATACAGATAGAACAATTCAGAGAAAGACATCACGAAGAATACATCCAAGGTTACGGCGGGATTCGAACCCGCTACCTCCACGCTTAACAGAGCGTTTGGACCGACGATACCGCTCGGCCAGGGAGGCCCCAGAAAATTTGGTAATGAGTGAAACGGAGCAAGAATAGTGTTTTAAACATAATATTTTATTAGGAACAGAAGCAAATAATGCTCATGGAACTGCATGATAATTAATTCTTGCATAATTTTTAACTCATGTTGTCAGATACATGGCTAATACGATGTTTTTAAATAGTCTTGAATCAAAAAGAGATTAGTTTCAAATTGTATCTTTTTTTTACCTCTATGAGTTTCCCAATATTTTCATTTTTTCTGTTTTTTTTTTATCACTTAATCAAACTTGTCAGACATAGTTTACAATACGTTTTATCAGTACAAGCAATAAAGCTCAAAAACTAACGTTACCTGAAAAAAATAAGAGACGGTTTTATTTTTTGAGGGTGCTATGCATAAATTATGTTTCTTTTATGATTTTCGTTTTAATATTTATATTCTTTGTAGTGGTGAACAGGAATCCGCATTCAGAGAAAAAATCTTTAACGGGAAAAAATCCTGAAAAAAATTTTGTTTTTGCATATAACCGTGGTCCAGGGAACAAGTTTACAATCCAACGATCTTTGACGAATCACTCTCTTTTACTTGGAGATTTTCCTCTTGGCTGTAGTGGGTCGTAATTATGATGCAAACTTTATTTTCATTTAAAATTTGTTTCTTGAATTTAGAAAAAATAAAAAATCATGTTTTTTCTTTATTTAAAAAAAAATGCCAAAATGGTCTTTAAAAGGATTGAAAAATTGAGTTGGGGAAGCATCTTCCTATGTATATTAAATTCTGACCGGGAAAACCTTCTGAATAAAACCTCTTAAATGGCTACTGACAAATCTGGATCAGGGATTTTCAGTCGCAAGGGAGATCCAATGCACCGCCTCGTCTGCCATTTATTTGCTGGCCACTAAAGCTTGTTCATACTTTTTTTGAAGATATTTTTTTAATGTCCAAATAAAGGCAGGAGTCAGTGGAACCTATTATTACAGAACAAAAATAAAGGACTAAGATGACCTAGAAAGGATAGAGAAGGATTCTCTACAAAGTTTAGAAAGAGAAATCGAACTTAATAACTGTTAGAAACTCACCCTAAAAAATAAGTCTAAATGTCAAATGATCGAAGAGGAAATTTAGGATTTGATTATTAGAAAAAGGTAATACTAAACTTGTCATGTTAAAGTTTGTTTTTCATTCCATTCTTTTACTTTGTTAGAATATTTTTTAATTTTGTGTAAACTCTTCATTCACATCGAAATGTCAGAGTCATATTGAGTCTAATTGCTTAAAAATTTTAACAAAACATAATTTTAGCGGAAACATGACATAGTGGGGAAAAACTAACACTTCAAACCTTGTTTGCATAGGAATTGAAAAAGAAAAGATTAAAAATATACAAAATTTTGAGTAAATTCTGATACTTCTAAGGGGGTAAGAGAAAACTTCCCTCAAGATTTTAGAGGCCTGGATGGCAATACTTTACCTTCGTTACTTGTAACAAAAATAAAAGTAAAAAATACGTACTTTTACTTGTACTTCTTTACTTTTTAAATTTTGTTCTTATACTTGTTTTTTCGCTGCTTTTTGGCAAAAAAGTACAAGTATTTGCAACGAGAATGTTGAAGAAAATCATTACTTTTTTCTGAAATTTTTTGAAAGTTTATATTCGAAAAAATTAAGAAAGTGTGAAATATCGTATTTTAAATTAAATATCATATGCATTAAAAAAACTTACAGTTTTATCACTATTATTGATTTTGTAAAAAGAAAAAAAAATTCTTTTCGAATTTAACCATATAGACATTAAATTTGAACATCATATCATTAAATTTGACAATATAACGTTTGTGTTCAATTTTTGATTAGAGTGCATTCATTATGGCATATCTATATCGCAATTTGAAAACTTGTCATTAATTATACAATTTTAAGATAATTTTTTTAACGTTTATGAAAACGAGAGATAATTTATAATTTAAATGAATTTCATGTGAATTGCTGTAAATGAATACAAATTTTTATTTACTTACTTATTTCTTTAAACAAACATTATGATGTTTATCAAATTTATTCAAAAATTTAAATCATTACTACTGTTTCCGAAAGTAAAAACAAGATTTTTAAACATTTGGTAACTTTAAAATTAACATAAACTAAAACTCCATTTTCTATACAAACATTGAATTTCGTTTGATTTCTTGATATTTTTAGAGTTCACACTTTCAAAAAATTTTTTACTATTTTCATGCATTTTTAAATTTTTTACATTTAAAATAAAATTGAATGCATTAAAATGTTAGGTTCTTCCTAACAGTTTCTTAATGAAATTTAAAGTTACTTTGAATTTTCAATTTCTTCAAATTGTACTTAAAAATCGTTACTGTTTTGTTTGTGCTTGTACTTTTACTCGTTACTCTTAATAAGTAACGTTCCCATGTATGGATAGAGGTATTTTAAAGATGTGGATCAGAAGACACCCATGAGTGTTATTTCAAAGTGAAATTATGTAAAAATTGAAAAAATAAGCAAAAAGTGAAAAATATCATAAAAAATACAGTCTTAGAGAAAGTTTAGGAAAAACTATGATTATTCGGTGAAAAAGTATTACTCCAAAGTGATGAAAATATTTTGATTTCATCTTAAAAGATCACGCAAGAGAAATTTTAATGAAATTTAAGTATTTATTAATTATTCTCCTCTGTTTTTCCATTGAAGTACTGAGCTAATATTAAGATCAAGTATTCATTTATGTATTGTAGTCATGTTTTTTTCATTCTAGTAATTCTTTGATATATTATCCTATCATTTTTTTCTACTTTCTTAATAACGACAAGCACTGAGTTTATCGTTCTTTGCCTTGGAAAATGCCGGAGGTGTAGCTCATTTTGCTTTACCTGGTGAGTACCTTGTAACCAAAGTGACGGAGGCGAGCAACGTTACCCGCGTACTTCCACAGTACAACGCAACAAGTGACGTACTGATACTCGTTCATAGGGTGGGCCACATTCACACACAACAGAGGTCAACAAACATCCATGCCCTGAGTGGGATTCGAATCCGCAGCATCAAAATGATAGTACAAATTTTGTAGTAACTTTTTTCTAGTTTTCGATTAGACCTCAGAAATTTCATTGTAATAATAACATTCCCACTTAGTTTATTGCCGTATTTAAAAAAAAGGCGTTTCTTCTGAAATATATACATAGATTTCCCAGATAGCAAAATAAGGTTTATTTTCACTCAGCAAAAACCTTTTAATGTATACCTAAAAATGTTTTTGTGCTGCTTTTACGTGTAAAACTTTTAATCTTAAACCTTTTAATCTTTAGATCTGTGACAATCTGCTCTATTCTAAGCATATTACCCAAATCCAAAATCTTTGAAAACCTTAAATCGAGGTTGTCTTAGGGTTTTCGAGCGGAAGAAAGCTAGACGAAAATAATCTTAAATCTGGGTAAGCTTTCTTTTCGCAACGTCTTGTATGCTCAGCGAAATTTTAATGAACTAATCTCTAGCGTGACGGTAGCTAAGACGTCATTATGGACCTAAGTCACAAAACTTTTTAAAAAAGCTTTAAAAATAATTTTTAATCTTTTTAGAATGAGAGGTTTGCAATATTTTTGCTTTATTGAAAAAAGGTTTTTAGTACAAACGTTTTCCGTGACAATAAAAAGAAGCATAAGGTTACATGCTTTCTGGGTGTGGCTGTATGTGCGTGTGTCAGAAAATTTGCTTGCAAAATACGGATTTGTAATCAACATTTCTAAAAAATATATACATAAACAAAAGATAAAAACTCAATTTTTCTAGTCCTCTAATGCCTGGGTTAAAAACACTATTTCCGTCAATAACCGACTTTTGTGTCATTTATTTTCATGTTCTGGGGCATCTGTTTTCTATATCATATTCTATTAACCGTTAAAGTGCGTTCATTGAATTATGTATAGTTAAGCATTGTGTATAATTAAGAATTGAGTATAATTAAACATTAAAATGATTAATTAATGAATAAATGATTAATAAGAAATTCTACCAAGTGAGCTTAAATTATCTCAACAAAAATTTCTATTCAAAGAAATAACATCTGATTCAAGTAAGAGAGAAGAAATCGATATCAGTGCGCTGAGGTTGTATATTTCTTCCTTCTTTTTTACTCAAAATTATTTGCTGATCTAGAAGATCAAATATAATTTTCTTCTCTCACACATTGATTCATCAAGAAAGAAAGAAATTGAAGAATCAATATTTAAAACATGTAACAATTAGGATATTTTTTAGAGTATTTCAATGGACACAATATCTTTTCTTAGTAGAAAAGTTCAATTTTAAAAGTATGTTTTAAAAAAATTTTGTAAATAAATAACAATACGTATTTTTATAGCCTGACATTTGACAACAATTTTCGCAACGAAAGTTTTACAGCTAATTTTAATTTAAAATTCAGATTTCTTATAATGAAACTTCTCGTATTTCTCATTCTCAGTTAACTATAACTGAACTAAAAATATTAACTATACTAATAATGTAATAATACTGAAGTTAATTAAATTCAATTAAATTTATTTACTTTTTAAAAAAAAATGTTTTTTAAGCTTATGGGCATTCTAATGCCCCATATAAATATAGGAACTGCTTATAAAACAACAACTTTTTCACTACCAACAGATAGGTCCGTAAGCCCAGCTAGGTTTTAAGATGCTTTCAATTTTTCAATAGGAGAACGGAGTATGTAAGAACAATTTAACTGACTTCAACGATATAAAAATATTTTTATCAATCTGCTTACACAACAACTACTTTTTCACTACCAATAGATAGGTTTTTAAGCCCAGTTAGGTCTCAAGATGTTTTCAATTTTCCAATAAGAGAACGGAGTATGTGTGAAAACAATTTAACTAATTTCATCTATATAAAAATATTTTTATCAATCGGAAGTAAATATTGATATCTTTTTTATCTATCTCAAGTAAAACTTTTTTAATTTGCTGTTTTCTATTTTGGAAGAACAAAACTTTTAACATTTAACATCAATGCAATTGGCTTCCATGAGTATAATTTTTTTTTATTATTATCAGGAGTTAATACAATTACCGTTTCATCGCTGTCAAGTTAAACCATCTTTTTCTGTTATCTTCCGGTTTGAAAGGTCTGGTTAAAAAGTATTTTTTGATTTAAAAAGTATGCATTATTAGAGATCACAAATTAATATTTAAATAAGAAAAACAAATTGAAATCTGTCGATTTAGTAACGCAGAAAGCGGATAGGAAAAAAAATCAAAGGCATTCATATTGCTTGATGAAGTTTGAAGATATTTTTAATAATCGCTTTTCAACTTCTCCTTGTTTTCCTCGGCAATCAAGCAGATTTAACTGTTTTATTCCCGATTTCCTCAATAGTATTTCAATAGCTATCGATAGCTTTTTGCTTCGCTTCCTGAGCCTCTATGGCTTATTGGTTAATGCACTGAACTATCATTGTGAAGAACTATGGTTTGATTCCCAGTGGCGGCTTGAAGCTCACTCAGCTTCAGATCAATGGGTACCAGCTTGTCAGTAAGTAAAGGCGGCATGTGCGGACAATCACGTCGTTGATCCCAAAATTGAGGAGCCTTAACCTCTATAGCTCCCTTGCTTGGCTGTTGCGGGAATGCTTTTAAATATTAAGTTGTGTCTCCGAATACGCAAAATTTTCTACTCCATTTTTGACATGTTTATGTGACGAGCATTAAAGATAATACTTTATAAATTTTTATTGACACTACAATAGTAAGTATTTGATATTCGAGAGATTATTTGAGTCGCTCAGAAGCCAATGCGGTTAAGTCCAAAACACAGAAATTGAGAAAATTAATGTTTTCTGATACATTAGTTTTTAAAATTCTTGGTTTAATAATTTAATTAGAAAAGTGTATAAAGTCTTTTTTCGAGGTGTAAACTCTGCAAAAAAACAAGATATGTACAGGATGTCTAAATAAAAACGTAAGTATTTATTGAAATAATGACAGCATCTTGAAAATTTTAGGACTTATACCTTTTGGCAGCTGAAAAAGATAAGAAATTTATGTAAAAAAATACATATAAAAAGTGGACTTATTCACAATGGCTTCTGAAATTATTGTACAATATATTCAGAAGCTATTAAAAAAAGGGCTGTCTAACCTAGAAAAAAGTAACCAACGAGTTAATCCTTTAATAACTTAGAAGATTATTATTTATTTCATCAAAATTTCCAAAAATCAGAAAATATCAAAAAATGGACTTAACCGCATTGGCTTCTGAGCGGCTCATTTGTCTCACGAATTAGAAAATATTTAAAAAAAATATTTGTTGGGGTAAGCGTTATTGTCGAAGATATGCCCAGACCTTTTTCAAAAGGGAGCCAACTATGATGGGATATTTTATAAATAATTTTTAAGTAAAATATTTTTGCATAGCACGGTAATATTTTTCTTAATTCTCATTTGGGGATACCTCCTCCTTTTCTTCGATCGTATAAAGACGTGAAAGTGAATGACTAATAAAGGATTCTATAAAATTAATTTTCATTTTAGAGCGTTTTATTGCGCGAGCGAAAAGTAACGTATTCGTAATTTCATATGTTTGTAAATGAATAATAAGTGACTCAAATTCTAGTGATAAACAAATTTTCAATTGGTATTTTACACAAATAAAATAAAAAATCTTATTTTAAAATTAAAGAGAAAAGAAATCATTAGCAAATGAAAATAAAGAAGATTTATATCAGCAAAATCTATTTTTATGCTGAAGTAAATACATCAATGCAAACATCCTTTCTATGATGCGTGTATACCTTTGCATCATATTTTTACACGTATTTTTGCAACCAATGATGCAAACATATTTTTGCAAGTATGATGCTTATACATCTTTGCATACAACTTATTATTGCAACCAAGGATGTCCTACCAGGTGGCCTAGAAAAGTACAAAGATTCTCCTTCTCAGGAGCCAACACTGGTTTTTATAAACGGTTTAATTAATTCATGTAAACTAACTAAGGAAAAAACAGAAATTTAATCTACTCCTAATGACTATAATACCAGAATACCCAGGTCCAATTATTAGACGCACCATAAGATTCTACGTAAAATCATAATTATCAGGCGAGGCTATACAGTTACCCTACTAAAACCGGTTTGCACTTGTTTACGTTAGTGTATTAATTGGTTAAATTAGGCGATATATGATTTGACGATAAGATAAATTAGACGATATATTATATAGAGTATTTATTATATCAAGCATTATATTAGTATATTATAATAATTAGATGAAATTATTAGAAGCACTGTAATTTTTTAATAATTACATGATTTGCAAGAGTTTATATGAAATACTTTTATATTTAAGCAAACATGTAATGGGTTTTTATTCAGGAGATTTTTTATATACTTATGTACTTCTAATTTGTATTTATTTTTAACGTATTACATTGCAATGTTAACCAATTGATACAGGAGCGTAATCAAACAAACCGGTTTCATTCGAGTAAAAACAATACAGCTGTATAGTATCACTTGATAATTATAATTTTACATAGAATCTTATAGTACGTCTAAAAATATGGCCAGGGACTGTATATTGATTATACCCCAGAATCAAATGACGCGAATAAGTTTTAATAAAGAATAAGGGCATTTCTGGTTCTGCTGATAATTGTTTATTTTTTTCTTTCTTGATATGCGATATTGATTCTGTATATATTTATTATTTCTTTTTATTAAATCTGCTCATCAGCATTGTCACTCATTTAGAAGTACAAAAATCAAAATTAATATTTTAAAAATTTATTACCATCATTCTTTCCTCTCTCCTCTCATTTTGTTGGAGCTTTCACACGTATAAGTAAAAAAGCGCTTCAGCTTACGTTTGCTATTGGGCTGTAAAGAAAGTAACATGTTTCATGAAAAAAATACATATAGCGACAATCAAAAAAATGCAGTGACTTAATATAAAAACATAAAATACCATAATTAATTTATAATAATATAACATACAAAATTAAAATGTGCTATAAGCATTAAAAAAAACGAATAAATAACAAAAAGAAGTTTAAAAACAAGTTGCTGTGGCAACAGTAATTTGTAAATTTGTTGAAAAGCAGGAACATTTTTTACTTAGTTTTAATCGGTATAATTTAAAATAAGAAAATCAAAAAGTTGAAAGAAATCTGCCGAATATTTTCTGAATAAAAGGACCCACAAAGTAGCGAAATTTTAAAAATTTCTCGACAGTTTTTCTATCATTTTTCTTTTAAATTAGCGTTTGAATTATGTCACATTTAGTTTCGAATGTAGCATAGATTCTAATTTTTTTAAGATTTGTATATTTTAGGCTTTCCATTATCCAGACATTTTTTCCATCACCATGAGATTTAAAAAGGAAAAATAATAGCAAATTATTTATTGCAAAGAATTATCGATAAAGTTTAATAATGATGTTATTGATTAGTTTCAGCTCTGAGAAGAAAAAAATATGGTAAAAACTTCCAGATGTGGTAAAATTTACCGTGTTTTCCGGCTCTATGGGAACATCAAAAAGTACCATGCATTGCTCGTGTCGTTGATAATGGCTTTTGGTAAAGTTGCTGTTTTGCTGTAATATATGCTGTTTCGTAGTAAATTTGGTAATTTTAGAATTGGTAATTTTGACAGTACTAGTATAATTTTAGATAGCGCTAAAGTGTTTGGATTGATAAAAAAAAATTATTTAGTAAATGCTTGGTTTTGGTCGGTTATTTTTTTTCATTCTTATGTCAGAGAACATTCATGCCACAATTAGTGCAACCAATCCTTAAAATTAAATACATACATATTCTCGCAACCAATCCTTAGAATTATAAAATAATACCCACTTGTTGCAGTTGTTTTACGTCGCTGCACAATGGGCTATTGGCAACGGTTTGGGAAACATCTCTGGGGATGATGCCATCACAATATTGATCCTCTGCAGAGGGGATGGCGCTTCGGTAGCCCGACGACCTGCACGCGAAGTCGAGCACTTTACGGTAGAGCAGTTTAACGAGGACCCCACACCCTCTGTCCCTACGCAGACTATTCCAAGTGGTCACTCACCCGCACACTAACCGCAGCCAGTGATGCTTGACTTCGGTGATCTGCTGGAAACCGTGTCTTAACGATCAGTCCATTGTGGGACGCATTTGTAGTGGAATCGTGGAGGATTTGAATTACGCCGCAACCACGGATTTATCTATCTATTAATATTTCTTTGCTTATTGCTATATGTTACTCATACATATGCACACTTTTATGCAAAGTTGAGCTTCGCCTGAACTACGGAGAACCCAATGATGATTGGTTGTTCAATTTGCAATAAATCTCAACATTCGGTATTTCTCTACCCGTTCTGAATCATGGACGCAGTGGGATCGAATACCACTATAATACTGGATGCCCATCGCTGTCTGTCACAAACTTATGCTATCTGTTTTCAAATTGAAAAGGATTTTTAAGCCATATAATCTTAATATTTTTGCACAACTATAATACTGAATGCCCATTCGCGTTGTCTTTCACAAACTTATGCTATCTGTTTTTAAATTGAAAAGGATTTTTAAGCCATTCTTTGTATTTAAAAATAAAAATCACACATGCATTTGAATAAATAAATAAATCCAACTACCGATATAAAAGATGCATAAAATGGACAGTATATATTAATCTAGCCGAGTTTAGTATCTTAAAAAAGGTTGAAAATTTAATTGAGAAAGACATTAGAAACCCCTAAATAACTCCAACCTAACATTAAAATAAAACATAGAATTTTCTATACCAAATAGACTGTAAGGTCTATTTGGTAAAAGGCATGGACATCAAAATATTAAAATTACCAAATAAATGGTAAAAAGAATGATAGTTCTGAAGAATAGCTCGATAATTTTATCGAGATTCTTTAGAGCCATGCGTGAAAATCATTTTTTCTGTTACATTTTCTTTTCAGTTTTGTATTTTTACTAAATTTATGGTAGTAAAAGCTATAATTTTTAAAATCAGAATTTCCGATAAACCCTTATCATAACGAACAATAAAGTACAAAACAAATTATTTAAATACCGTAAATTTTGGTTTAATTACTATAAAAGTATGGTAATTTCGCCAGAATTTTTTTAAGCGGGAAATATTAACGAAATACGCAAAAAGTAAAATTAACATTAATTTACTCTGATACCTAGAATTTAAGAGATTTCACACAAAGAAAATTTTATTTAAATTTTTTTTGTGCGCAATTGTGTTCTTCAAAATATAATTGGATTTACCCTTGTTCGCTAAAGTTTTTAATTAATGTCAAAAATTAAATGAAAGGTAAAAAGTTCGATTCAAGTTACGTTTTGGACAGTTTTATAACACATAAATATCTTTGCTTTAGTCTAGTAGATTTTGTTTCACGATTAAAATATGCAGAATGACACTATTATAACAAATTAAATCTCTTGCAATACTATATAATATAGTAAATATAAAATACCCTAAGTAATTAATTACCCCTCATAATTATCATTGAAAGCCTAATATGGGCATGTTCACAACAGCTCCATAATCAATCTTGAGGGGTTATTTGCCCACTTAAGCTCATTATCAGTTAATTAAAAAAGTAAATAAAAAGCGAATTTTCTGAAAAAGATTTTTATTTAGCTGTATGTCGCTATTATTTGAAACGATGAAAATAATCTCGAGAGGCAATTAAAAAAGCAAACTTTTTCACCGTAAAAACTTTGTATCAGCTGTGTTTAGCTATTCATAAAAAATTTTGGCTGATAAACAACACAATATTATTTCAGATGTCCGCTCCATGTCCTCTTGTTATTTTATTGATTTTCGTGCATTATTTTACTGCTTTTTACATTATTTAACTGTTTTTAACTTCTAACTAATGTTATTTATATTTTTAATAAGTTATCTTATGTCCATAATAATTAACTATAAAATCTATTTATTGGATTTTTTAAAGTTTTATTGAAATTCCTGATAGAGGAGTTTTTTTTTTCAATAGAGAAGCATCTCTTAGGAATATTGAACTTTTTTTTCTTTTTTCTTTTTGAAGAAATAAAATTATTTCACTAAAATGTGTTTTTGAGGTAAATGTACTGTTAGTGTTGCCATCTGACATCTTATAAATATAACTCCAAAGAAAAATCCTAAAACTTATTTTATTAAAGTGATCTGAGTGTTATGAAGTGAAAAAATTTTTATCTCTTAGTGCTGCCATCTAGGATCTTATAAATTTAACTTGAGAAAAATAACTAACAAAGAAAAAAAATTCTAAATTAGCTAAAATTATTTTATTAAAATCGAAATGCTGATCAATTTCAAAACATGAAATACTTAATACAACTTGGATATTTATATTTTACCTTACAAAAATATTTTAATAAGAAATGCATGTAAATAAATATTTTTTATTATGTGAACTAACGCTCGATAAAAGTAAAAAATCGCATTATTTTCTATCAAAGGGAAATTTATTCAATATAGTTTTATTCAATATAAGTTTATTCAATATAAGTTTATTTAATATAAGTTTATTCAATATAAGTTAAGTTTTTATTCAATTTAAGTAAAGGGAATTTTATTCAATTTAAGAACCAGTTTTGAACTTACATCTACCGATGTTCAACTCCGTAGCCTTGTAATTTTGAATCCAATCCAGAAGTGCAGTGAACTCCTGGATCTAGTATTGGCAAAAATTAATTTTCATGGAAAATTATTATTATTATTTTTTTTGTTGATGCAACTAACCCGCATTTGCGTTAAATGGAGAGAAAAACTACGAAATCCTTTCGCTGTTAGCCCGACGGCATGAGGATTCTACCCAATGATCCGTCTACCACTGAGGATATTTTGCATCAGCACTGTCGTCGGTACGAACCGGGTGCAAAATTCGTACCGAGCAGAATCGCTGGGACTTGAACCCGAGCCACCTCATTGGGAGGCCAGCGCTCTTTCCTCTTCGCACCGCAGCTCCTAGCTTTGATTATATTAAAAGTTTTTAAAATTAAACTAAGCAGTAGTGTAACAAGCCCATTACGTGCCTTTAACAAAATGACTACTTCCCACTCCTTTCCCAATTTTAGTTATAAGTCGATGTTTTTTAAAGCGTGTGGTCTTTTATTTATAATAAAATAATAGAAAAAGAAAATAAAAGAACCTTAGAACCAGCTGTTAGAGGCTATTAGAATATTTTTATTCTTCTACAATTAAGGAATAATTTGTTATAAAAAAGTACTAATTTCATTAGCAGTTATATTTCTTAGCTATCAATATACTGACTATAAAAATAAAAATAAAAACTCGTAAAGAATATTTTTTCAAAGTACATTAGATTTTATTTAAATACAGAAATCTATTCAAACACTGAGCTTTCCGAAATCACAGATTTATATCTATCTATCTATCTATATATATATATATCTATCTATATATATATNATATATATATATATATATATATATATATATATCTTGCATACTTGTCACATATACAGTAACCGTCGAAAAATTTATATTTAAGTAATAAAAAAGAAGTAAATACAATAAGAAATGATTATCAAATTCTGATGATTTAGTATCAAGGACAATCATAACATAGATGTAATTAATATAAAATTAAGAAATAAAATAAATTAATAGCAAATGAAATAAAATTTTAAGAAAATGGTTATCAAATTCTGATGAATGAGTATCAAGGGCAATCATAATATAGATTTAATTTGTATCAATAAAACCAGTTTATTTCTGTTATAAAACTCTAAGTGATCCATCCACATCTAAAAAAAAAAAACTGACTTTGAATTGACTTTGACCATCTCACATTTGCTAAAAGCAACTTATAGTGATTCGTGAAACTTTGATATGATACCCATT